CAGTGGGTTGAACTAGAAACATTGTTAAAAACTAAAGTAATAGCATCTAACACGGGCGATTAATTGTCAGAATTGTGTCTTTATATCCCATGCCTATTTACGATCGATTTGCAAACTTGACACATGGCTTTGAAGCGGTATACATTTCAACTCATTGGTTTTCTCTGGGTCCTCTGATTTCCTCCCAGTGCTAAAGACCCATAGGGGCAAGCGAATTATTGAAATAATATGGAACCATATATTAGTCCCGACTGTGTGTTGAGTGGACGTTAAACCCCATTTCTCGCTCTTTCTTCATATGTGTAAACCATGAAGTATATAATTGAATGTACTGTTCTGACCTTTCCATTTTAAGTCGAAACAATAGAATTGACGTCTTTTGTTACTTCCTTTCAGAAAAAAACAAATGTCAGACATATATTGATATCAGCCAAAAAAAACGAAACCAGTTTTAAACGATGGAGGCAGAAAATTTGACATGGCCCCAATGGCGAGACGTACTGAAGCCACAAGAAAGCATCAATTAAAAAAATCATTAATTCGTTCACGCGCTTTGATCTTAAGTATTTAAGAGGAAATTGGAAAATCGGAAAACTCGAGAGTTCAGGCAGATGAAAACTCTTTCTCATGTAAAATCAATGTATCGAATCCACGGCTTGCATCGATGACTCTCTATACACCATTCTCAATCTAAAACTATCTATACACCATAATCAGACTAGAACTATCTATTCACCATACTCAGACTAGAACTATTTATACGCCATATATTCATACAATTTGCACGACTCAATCCGTATCGTGTCCTGTTTATGGTATTTACCGTTTTGGGACTTGGATCACATTAACAAGCATATTTCGAGTGCCAAAATACCTGTATTGTTTCCAATTACAAACTGCAACATGTGAGAAGATTTGAGAGTAATCCCCCTATCACCCGCCCACACACCTACTTTCGCTTACTCCGTCTCAAATGAAAGACCAAAACTTGTAATTACCGTAAACACGGCATAAACTGAAGCTGGCATTCGGCGTACCAACCGCACTATAGGTTGTCGAATGATTGATTCATAAATAGAATTAGACTGTAAAAAAACACCCAACAAATTTACGATTGACTGGAATAGAAATTAACACGGTATAGAGAGTTCGATAGACACCATCTATATATATATATATATATATATATATATATATATATATATGAATGTATTACAGTAAAGCTTGATTAATTATGTAAGATTTAGATTAAGAGCTAGCCATTCTTGCTAACATAGTTCGAAAATAGATAATGTAAAATGAATAATTTGAAAATTTCATTCAAATTACTCTATTGCGAGCGAAGATAGTAGCCTTTGAGGGTTTGACAAGACGTGTGCAATAATTTCAACCACCATACTGGTTGTTCGAAGCTAAGTCTCGCTCCTCCATTTTGAGATTAAATCAAAATATGGCTGAACCGTTTTAATCTATTTAATATCGTAGAAATCCGATGTCATCGAGAGTTGATTATGGTTTGGATCAGTTAATTAATGTCTAATTAATCATTAAGATAACATTTCAGGCCTAAAGAAAGACCTGCAATAGGCAGATTTAGCTCTTGCATAATGTATGTTTAAAGGATGGAACTGCATACTGTTTGACGTCTCATCAAAACTTGACTTTTGCTAGAATATTCCGTGTACCAACCCCAGAGTGGGCTAAGAGGACCTTTGGGATAATTCAAGATCGATCTCCACTATAGTCCAGACTGGCTGGATAGCGATCGAGTTGCTTAGATCTTCTGTTCGGACGAATAACCGAGTTTCGTCTGTGTTCGACCGGGAAATCTCGTACAATAAGAGAGAGGGAATTTGGGGTTTATCGTCCACTCGAATCAAAGTAGATCATTTCTTGACTAACATATATGGTTGAACTTTATTTCAACACTCGCTTTTCCGTGGGAGGAAACCAGAGGACCCGGAGAAAACCCACGAGGTTGGACAGGCAAACCTATTCCTTGTTACGTACAAGCGGGGATTCGATACCACGCCACTTGCGTTAAACCATTGGGGCCCCCTACCCTCCCCCACCACCCCATGCTCTAACAAAAACCATGCTAGTTCGCGTTCGTTAAGGCTGAAACACCACTGTTCGGGCAGAATTCTCCTTCCTGCCATAGAACAAGATAGCCGTATGTTAGTCTCAAAATGACTGAAGTGTTATGTTGACGAGACATTAAACTCTATTCATATCTTGGGGGGTTGGATGGCTGAATGGTTAGCGTGCGCGCGCTGTATCATAAAGTCTGTCATTTAGTCGACTGGCGTGGTTTCGAATCCCCGGTTGTACGTGACAAGGAGTAGGGTCGCCTGTCCAACCTCGTTGGTTTTCTCCGGGTCCTCCGGTTTCCTCCCACTGCTAAAGACCCCTACGCGCAAGCGAATTATTGAAATAAAATTAAACCATATGTTAGTCCCGAAATGACCTAGTTTGTGTCGAGTGGACGTTAAACCCCATCTCTCTCTCTCTCTCTCTCTCTCTCTCTCTCTCTATTCATATCTTATCCTATTCTGCCATGTCGAAGCTTGATTTAAACCCAGATAGGTCCATCGAGGGTTAGAGAAAACAAAACGAAAGTAAGATTAGATTGGTCATTTTAAGATTATAATAAAGATTGCCCGGACAATGAGGTTATCACATTTATTCTTCGTCCATTATTAGCATATCGCTTTGTTTCTCTTTCAACTAAAGGTGAACCCAGAGGTTCCTGGGGATTTGTAAAACAAAGTCTGCATCCCATACCTAGTGTTTTACTTCAATAACTACAGTTAAATGAGGCAATAGATCATATTAGATATGAAATACGCCATCTTCGATATAGCGAATACACCACGCCTCGTTACAATACAATCAGACAAATACTAGACATGAAATATGCCATCTTCGAGACATCAAATACACTCATTGGTACAGTATAATCAGACATGAAATAAACACCTTGGTACAGTACAATCAGACAATACTAGACATGAAATACGCCATCTTCGAGAGATACATCAAATACACCCCTTGGTACAGTACAATCAGACAAATACTAGACATGAAATACATCCCTTAGTACAGTACAATCAGACAATACTAGACATGGCATAAACCATCTTCGAGAAACAAAGGGTTATTCGATCTTGTCATGTAATTAGTGATGGCTTCAACAGTTCTGTTATCCACGCGTGCTAATGCTCAGATATCAAAACAAATATATGGCGATGATAAAGATTTGAGACAAGGCATGAAACAAACTGATATATATCTACCGTTAATTATGTACTGAAACACACACACACACGAACTTCTTACCTACATACCCCTTCTCAGTGATGCAGGGCGGACAGTTGTCTAGTCGTTCGGATGGGACGAAAAACCGAGGTCCCATGTACACATTGACGTGCACGTAAAATATCCCTTCACAGGTGGGATTCGATATATTACATGAGTAGGCCGTAGTGCCACTGTCCGGGCAAAATGTCCCTCATAGCATATGCCCGTCTTCATTAGCCCAGTTCGGAGCAGAACAGTAGGACGTTAAACCCCATTCCATTTCATTTCTTACCTACATCTCCCAATCCGCCAATTACCTACTGTACTGATGCACTACAACCCGCTCCGTCCACACCCTGCGATCCTGCTCCTTGTCACGTGTGAGATCGAAAGCATGCCACTTGATTCAATGCCCCCCCCCCACAACCTATCCCACCCCCACCTCTAGGCTAATGAAGACGCCACACAGTGTGCTTTGCCCGGACACTTCTTATGAATTTTAACTGTCGACGGTTTTAGCTCCACTGACAAGGGAACACCACGTTAAAAACATCTCTAGACATTTTCTCGTCTAACACCAGGCTCGAACCCCGGACCTCCAGGTTAGTAGGCTAGCCAATTACTCACTGTGTCACCGTGGGTAACTAATCTTTAATGATCCCTTGGCAGGTGGGATTCGACGAAGGTTACGCGGAAACGCCACTGACCAGGCAAAACATTGAATGATGTATGGCCGTCATCGTTATTACCTTTTCTAGACTAAATCTGCCTATTGTAGGTCTTTCTTTAGGCCTGAAATGTTATCTAAATTATTAATTAGACAATAATTAACTTATCCAGACCATAATCAACTCTCGGTGTAGCCTGCGATATTTATTGGATTAGGAAACAATTTGCTGCTCAACTTCCATTCATGATTTAATCATGAAATGGATAACCGAGACTATATTTTATCGTGCAGACTTTATTAATGATGATCGAGGCTAGGCCGAAAATTCAATCACTAAAATCACGGTTCAGAGAGGATCAATTTGACTCAAATTTTCAGCAAATTCCCTTTACATTATCTAGATTTTAACTATTATAGTGAGAACTGCCATCTCTTTATCTTATCCCCCATAATGTATCTTTAAGTTAATTAGATATAATTTGTCGTGTTTTTCCAGCCTAAATCCGTTTCCGCTTTAGGAATGTGTATCTAAATGTACAGTCTCTACCATATTGTTTATCCTTGTTTTGTTGTGCTGTTATCTCGAATTGTCTGATAGTGTGTGTAGTTTTGTTGTGCTGTTATCTCGCATTGTCTGATAGTGTGTGTAGTTTTGTTGTCTACTTTTCTCGAACTGCCTGATAGTGTGTGTAGTTTTGTTGTCTAATTTTCTCGAATTGTCTATTAATGAGTCTAGTTTTACTTGAGTTCAGTCAGTTTTGTTGTCTAGTTATCTAGAATTATCTGCTAGTGCGCCGTGGTTTTAATTGAATTCAATCTGTTTTGTTGTGTACGTTTTAATTGGTTTCGGCCAGTTTCCCATTCACAAATACCGAATAAAAATATGGTATTAATAGGTAATAATTTAATTACCTGTATATTAGGCACCTGTCCTATCCTATCAAACATAGGATATATCTAGAGCGCTGGATTTTACATTGGTTCTGTCTGTTGCCCACTCCTATTAAGAAATATTAATAAAAAGCCTTACCTTTATTATGAGGCACCTTTCCTATCAAACATGGGGATATATCTATTGTTTCTTTAACTGCATAACCCTGGTTTATATATCTATGTATATCTACAGTCTGTCTATATTCTCTTTCTACCTGTAAATATAACAGTATACCTCTAGCTCATATATATATATATACTTCATATATACACCAGATGGCGATACAACCCAGGCAACTCGGTCAGTTCAAATTTACCAATAACCTATCCTACTCAATCAGCATAGCACATTTTCAATTGTTAATATGAATGAAATAAAATGGGGTTTAAAGTCCTACTTGTCTGCATCGACTTGGATACTGTGTAGACGGGACCTCGGTATTTCGTCCCAACCGAACGACTATACGTATTCCTTTGCCAAGCCCTCCGTCCTACACTACCGACAAATGGGGCCACGCCGGTAAATCCAGATGAACTTTCTCGACCAACGCAGGGATCGAACAGGGGACCACCAGGTTAGCGAGGCAGTGTCCTACTAAATGCAGACTAAAAACCACAACAAACAGTAAACGAACACGACAATCTAAAATACCAAAGTAAAACAAGGTATTAAGCTACCTGAACTTCAACCAAACATATTCCACTGTTAGAATTATTATAAGATAGTCTTGAACGATTCCAAAGATCTTTAATTTGAAACTTCTATAAAGTGCACATTTATCACTACTCACAGCACAGATCTTTTCACCCGACTACCTGTATAATGCATTTGCATTCCAAATACACAGTAATCGTTATAGAGTCGCCTGACTGGGATATGAATTAACTCACCCACCTCCAATCACAGCAATATTACTTTAGAATTAGCTTTGCACCAATAGTAACTCATTAAATTATGAAACCACAAACAATTCTCCTTGTTTTATGAACCAGAAACACAATTAGTGGACTGGTTTGTGTTTCGCCCCAACCTTAATAGCGCTAGAAATGGGCTGTGTTATAGAATCGCTAGACTGGTATAGGAATTAACAGTTTATTATATACTGTAAATCTACACCCGACACCGGCTACCTGTATACAATATACTAGTACAGCATAAAGACGTGTTCATAGATCTATATATATACATATAGTCGTATATATGTATATATATAAATATCACCGTTCCCACCAAGAAAACAGGAATAGATATTGACAACTTTCCAAACATCTTTCAATGAAAACAGGCATTTTACCAAACTATTCTTGTTAGACTTTTTCTTCTGTCTACTGGATCGTTATGCAATTAAACAACAACGTTAGTTTCAGTTAGAGATTGTTTAGTTATAATCAAATGGCATACAATATTATGTTTAGCTCAGTTGTTTACGCATGTTATATGACTCGAGAGAGAGAGAGAGAGAGAGAGAGAGAGAGAGAGATGGGGTTTAACGTCCACTCGACACAAACTAGTTCATTTCGGGACTAACATATGGTTTAATTTAATTCAATAATTCGCTTGCGCGTAGGGGTCTTTAGCAGTGGGAGGAAACCGGAAGACCCGGAGAAAACCCACGAGGTTGGACAGGCGACCCTACTCCTTGTCACGTACAACCGGGGATTCGAAACCACGCCAGTCGACTCAATGACAGACCGTATGATACAGCGCGCGCACGCTAAACATTCAGCCACCCCCCCCCCCTCCCCGCAGAGAGAGAGGGAGAGAGAGGGTGGGGGTAGCGCCCACTAGGTTATTTGATTAATCCGGCCGTGGGTAGGGTTCTTTTAGTCGTAGGGGAAAACCGGACGACCTTGAGAATACCCATGACGTTGGACAGGCGACGCTACTCCTTGTCACGTACAAGCGGGGAATCGAAACCAAGCTGCTAAGCTCAATGACAGTCCATATGATCCAATGCACACTCGTTAAACCATCCGGCCACCCATCCTGCGAGAAATCTGATCTCTATGGTGTTCACAAGCTTGAAAGAAAGACTGTATCCACTACTGCGTTCAATACTTTTAACTCCGAACAGTCGTGATATGCTAAGCAATAGGATTCATCCTCTTATGCCCCCAATAGAAATTCGGTGAAACTATAGACTATATCGCGTCCATAAATGTTTCGGAAAAGGGTGCATGACAGTGCAGTGGCAATACGGCCCCTCTCTCTCTCTCTCTCTCTCTCTCTCTCTTTCTCTTTTGGAAGGAGGAGGGGGAGATTCCGTCAATTGGACGTTGTGTCTTGACCACTGGCTATTATTGATTTTAGCGAATATTTAGCGTGTTAGTCTCAGAAAGGGGGGATAACAAGTCGTTGAACTCTGTAAATATTTTAGGTAATTTTATTTCAGCTCTTAATAACAATTCTCAGACAGATAAAACTCAAAACTAAAAAATACTTCCCATTGGGTTTTAGAAGTTTTATAATCCAATAAGAATATATCTCCCTTAAGCAAATAAAATAGTGATATCTAGATCGTAATATTCTTTCCATATAAATTTTTATGTTTTATTCTCTCGCCATTTGGGATACTGGTAAAATATAATTGGTATATTAGCATTTATTATTTAATAAATAGAAACTGAAAAAAAGATAATTTCGCGATCTTACGTAATTATATCTATAAACTTAAAAATGCACAGAAGCGTACTTTTTTATTTGCGGTAAATGAAGTAAAAAGATACAGCCACGATCGATATTAAAGGTGAATTATCGCTTCGTTTTCAGTCTTATTTTTCGATAGTTCTATTGAAAGCTAAAGTGCATCAAATATTCTAATAAGGGAAGTGATATCAGGTATTCTCGAAAGAGTAAACATACGCTGCCTTGGGTACGACATTCGTTACTACATAACATAATTTCGGCGTCAGAATCATATAGTAATTTTTATCCAAGAAATCCCCCAAATTATGCTTGTATGTTAATAGGGGGAAAAAAAGAAAATCCAAACATTTCGTCTTTTACATCAAATATCTGAAGGGGGGACGGCTGAATGGTTAGCGCGTGCACGTTGTATCATAAGGTCTATCATTGAGTCAAGGAGTAGAGTCGCCTGTCCAGCCTCTTGGGTTTTCTCCGGGTCCTCCTGTTTCCTCCCATGGCTAAAGACCCCTACGAGCAAACGAAATAAAATTGAACCATGAGTTAGTCCCGAAATGACTTCACGTCATTCACTGTCCAATTATCTGTTAACAATACCAGTTATGACGATTAACATCTTGACACTTGGTTTTGGTCATACTAAACTTGGGCTGTCTGTCTACAACTAGCTCCGCTTGAGAACAGACACTAAGTTAGTTGACCTACATTTTAAGTCCTAAATCGACAATTTTTGTCTTAACTTCGAGAGTTTTGTTAAATATCTATTCTGCTTCGATTTAATAAAATTGTATAGGTTTATTTGTGTGTATGACAGAAGTGACACGGAGTAGAACCGTATTACAAAACAATATACTAATTTTGTGTCGTGTTAGTCTCAATATGACCGAAGTGTATTTTTGTGTCGTGTTAGCCTAAGTATGACAAAACGTTTGTGTATGTTGTGTAAGTATCAAACTTGTGGTGTCGTCCAGACGTTAAACCCAAATCAATTATCAAAAAAAATAAAATCTAAACGTCAGCACAATAAAATAAAAGCAATCTGTTTTAATTCTGTTTCAGGAGCATGTAAATATATTTAACATATCTGCACTTAAAAGCACTCTGTCTCTCGTCAAAACTTGTTGATAAGTTGTTCATTTCTTACATGCACGTGTTAGAAAATACACTCGGCACTCGTCGACAATGTTTTCTGATTACAATATCTTTGTATTTATAGATTGCTTCCGTTCCCACGTAGTAATTCACCTCGAAAAGCGTAATTCAAAACACGTGCTTTTTGTTAAATATACCGGTGAGTATTATAAGTAATATTATTATACACATGTTGTAATTAACATCATTATGTTGTTCATTTGGCTAATTAATTCGACATACATGTAAATGTATTACATAATGACTGATAATCCATGTTAGGGTTTTTTGTTCTATTCAGGGTCGGAGCCACGGTGGTTAAGTGGGTAAGACGCTGGCTCACGAGCCCGTGGAGGTCGCGTGTTTGATCCCTTCATTGGCTGAGAAAGTTCATCGGGATTTTCCCACGTGGTTTCCCCTTGTCAGTGGTGCAGGACGGAGGGTTTGACAAGGACAGCTGTCTAGTCGTTCGGATGGGACTAAAAGCCGAAGTCCCGTGTATACATTGCCATGCACATGAAAGATCCCTTGGCAGTTGGAATTCGATATAAGAGTAGACCATTATATAGTGCCGCTGCCAAGGCAAAATTTCCCTTATAGCAGACCGTATGGTGTATGCCCGTCATTATTAGCCCAGTCGGAGCAGAACAGTAGGACGTTAAACCCTATTTCATTTCATTTCATTTCTATTAAGGATCGGGGAACTGGTCACGTTTCTCATTAATAATAATAATCTTTATTCACGAAAACCATCAGATTATGAGCATTCCATCCATTTCATTTTACGTTTTCATTATATTAATACATTTCATTACACTATTAACGATTAAAGATTTTAGATTTAACATTAATTAATAGTATCTTAAAATAATATATGTATACATCACACTATTACTTAAAAGTATTTACATTTTTGGAACCGAGAAAAATGACAATGGATAATTAATTAGGCTTATTACATAATTACTGCTAATTAATGTTTAGTGTTAGAAAGGTGGAGGGTCCCGGGTTCGCCTTATTTTAAGTAAAATATAGCCCTTTATAAAACTTGTGTTGTTTTAATGCATCAAATGTATGTTTCTGTGTCAAAGATATTTCTCATAAACAGTGAATAAAAGTTGAATAAATTCTTAACTTGAGTCTGGGAATGCTTCGTGAAACCGGGGCAAGGACATAATTCAAATCGAATATTTACGCTTAGGTAATTTTACTGGGACACCCCTTCAAGTACAATGAGATCGCCAGGTACATATGAAATAGGAAAGGGGATAAACAAGTCCAAGAGCCTTTCATAAAGACCTGACTTGGGTCTGTTTTTTTACTGAAACAAGTACGATCGTACTATGGACCTGGAAATGACCATGTTGTTGGGTGAAATTTAAAAAATCTAATTCACCGAATCGATGTAGAATTATTCAAAGAACAAGCATGCCAATTTTCATGTCGATCGGACTTGAATTGAGGGAGTCTTAGCCTTGTTCGAAGAGCGTCACCCTTAGAAATGGTTCCGCCTTGCTCCAGTCACAGTAGTGGACAGTACTAAGGTCTTCCTTTGAGCAAGTTTTGTATTATTTGACTACAATAAAGTTACTGGCCAATAACTTCCTTAATTTCCAATAACCCTGACCCCAAACTGTACTGTACATAGCTTAACATATAATAAACCAATTCCCATTGAAATAAAGATGAAACCTTACCCTATAATTATATGATTTCATTAAACCCAACTGCTATGCAAAGTTTATGTTCATATTAAAATGGCCGCCAAACCAGAATCACGTGTGTCATGTCACTCGAAAATACAGAAAAAAACTGTTTTATAAAATACAGATTAAGATTTTAGTGTTCCACTCTTCGCTATTTGTAACATAATTACTTATTTTCGTGCAAATTGTGATGATATGTGTTGAAAATTTTGCAATTGAAGCTAATTTTACTTGTTCAAAGCCTCGAATAGTGTATCAATTGCAAATTGTGATATGTGTTGAAAATTTTGCAATTGAACCTAATTTTACTTGCTCAAAGCCTAGAATAGTGTATTAATTGCAGCCGTAGATGAGAATTATCAAGGCTGTATACAGCTACGTCACCCCATGAAGTAGAAGTGCAAGATGAGTAGCGGTATGTAACTGCTCCTTTAAGATATTAAGACATTTAATCGTTTATGAAAATCTGTTTTGTTTTTAGTTGTAATGGGAGGAGACAGAATTATTGCCAAGTGCCAACCGAATTTTATTTAATGGTTTTCCGGAATTACATAAATATGTCTTTTTAATATGATATGTGAGGTTTTGTTTATTATTGTGTCATAAGTATATAGTGCTTTACATTAAAGCTACAATATTCAAGCTTAAAGGGCAGTGTGCGATGAGACAAATCCTACCCGGACATAGGCCATACAGTCTATATACTCTTATTGCAATTTTCAAGGGCTCTTTTACGTGCAAGCCAATGAATACACGGGACCTAGGTTTTTGTCCAATCTAAACGACTACACACAATTAGACAGAGATATAAATATTGACCTACTGTTAGTCCTAAAATGAGCTAGAGTAGTAATATCGAGACAGTAAACCAATGGTACTCGTACAAGCCTTTCTTATATCGAGCTCTTGGCGTCCTGGGGGCATCATAAAACCGTAACTACAGCAGGAGATTGATGGATATTCGATTATAATTACAACTTTATGATATCTTTATCATACCACCCCAGCCATTATTGAAAATAGTGATGGTGGAAATTAGAGAAATAGTTTCTTTATTGATCTTGGTGAAATTCCTACACTAGATTCTAATTAATCATTTATCGTTCTATGTTCATCATAAAGTCAACTATGTCTTCTAATAATCACACACATTAGATGGAGCTGAAGACATTTATCTTGTTTAGGTTTATAATGAAATGAGATGAAATGGGGTTTAACATATTACTTTCTAACCCACTCGTGATGCAGGATAATGACGTAATTTTTAGGACTGATTGATTTTAATCAAGGAGGGACTGTGGACCGAAAGCCCACGATCTACCCCCCCCCCCCACCACCAATAACATTTTTGAAAAATGGTGCTTTCTATAGCATATCCCACGCACCAAACCTCCAGAGACTGCTTTGCTTACCAATTCATTAGAAACGACATAATTTCAAGACTAAAAAGGGCTTCAAAATGTATGTGACGTCACCTGTAGAAGGCGTATACTTGCACTTATAAAGGTCCGTCATCTATGGGGGGGGGGGGATGGCCGAATGGTTAGCACGCGCGCGCTATATCATAAGGCCTGGTTTCGAATCCCCCGTTTGTACGTTAAAAGGAGTAGGGTTGTCTGTCCAACCTCATGGATTTTCTCTGGGTCCTCTGGTTTCCTCCCAGTGCTAAAGACAACTACGCGCAAGCGAATTATTGAAATAAAATTAAACCATATGTTGGTTCCGAAATGACCTGGTTTGTGTCGAGTGGACGTTAAACCCCATCTCTCTCTCTCTCTCTCTCTCTCTCTCTCTCTCTCTCTCTCTCTCTCCGTCATCTATAATACAGAGGTATAAGAAAGCTTTCACAATACCACCATGAAACAGGCAGGATCCTTCTCAATCTTACTTATTTCTGGATCTATCTCATTTTTTTTTATGGATAACTTTTAATTTTGTGTAGTTTGAAAGTTTATATTTGTCTATTAGCATGAAATAGTGAGGTTTTATAGAGGAATGCTTATCTTGGGTATATGTTTTATTTGTTTGCAGTGTTTTGCTTACAAAACCAAGTATGCAATCTGAGCTATAACTGACATATGCCAAATGTGAAAAGTCACGAACGTGTTCCGAGAATGCACAAAACTGTCATGTTTAACTGGCATCGTATTAAGAAAATTTTCCCTTGGGCGTTTACGGATCTTCTTGAATTATTCGTCTAAAAAGACATGTTCGCTATGCCGATGCAGAGATTTAGATTGCTGACTATTGAGAATAATAACAAAGATAAAATTATATTTGAATTTTTATCCATTTATTTTTTATTTCCTTAGTTTATTTATTTATTTTTTAATTTTTTTTAATATCCGACTTCCATGATAAACTACACAGGCATTGCAAGAAATAAACAAAGAGAGATAGAGAAATGGAGTTTAACGTCCACTCGACACAAACCAGGTCATTTCGGGACTAACATATGGTTTAATTTTATTTCTATAATTCGCTTGCGCGTAGGGGTCTTTAGCAGTGGGAGGAAATCGGCGGACCCGGAGAAAACCCACGAGGTTGGACAGGCGACCCTACACCTTGTCACGTACAACCGGGGATTCGAAACCACGGTAGTCGACTCAATGACAGACTTTATGATACAGCGCGCGCACGCTAACCATTCAGCCATCCAACCCCCCAGAAATAAACAACAAATATCAAATCAAGTGAATGGATCTGGGGCCAGCAGGAAGCGTCTACTGTGCTGTATAGTCCTGGGCCGTACGTAACTAACGTACGAAAATTAAATGGTAGCTGGCTTTTTTTTCCCCACGTATACAGTGAATGGCCATTTTGCTCAGTAATCCCAGCCAGAATTTGACTAATTTTTTTTGAAAATTGCGTTAAAGTCTTTAATTTTTGTTTAGAACTGAAATAAATTAACTTTTAGTCAATCCCCACGCTAATAACATTAACAGAATTGATTGTGTATATCTGAAATAGACACGACCGAAGCACAAAATAGTTCCAATATGCCGACGTCAAATCTAGAGTTGTGGATGATGTTATTTTTGTGAAAAATCATTGGAAGAAGCGATAAGACGTTCTGTACGGATTATACAGTCCTAAAGGCTGCAAGAAGGCTATTGTTTACAATGTAACATTGTGTCTTGTAATGTTGATAATGATCACAATGATGGTGTTTACATTTGTTTGTTGATGTGACCTCATGACCTGTGACGTTTAGATTACGTCATATGGTTATCATGGCCATTCACTGTGTAGAGTCACTTCTCTGCAGGTAGGATGAGTCTGTCGTTCAGATTGAGGCCTGGGCCTGTAATGAAACATGCTTCACTTAAAATGAAAACTAAACAATGAACGTAATACCCTGTCGATAGTCTGTCGGTTGACATCATGAGTTCGAACGTCGAATATTTTACCAGATAAAATTTCGGAACATGCTAAAATTTAATAAATAAGTTAT